GAATCAAACCCTGCATGGGATGGGGAACACAGCTGTGGTGCACAGAACTGTTAAATTGATATGTTAACAAAGCAAGTGTCAAAAATCCACAGATTAGTTTCCTGTCATTATTTTATTATATCTAACATGGCACGTGTTGTTTCCAGACCCTAAAACAGAAACATGACTGATTTTTGTTTTTTAAGGCGGTTCCCCAACATAGAACAAAAAGTGAATTCCTTACAGGACTTCTTCTTCTTCTTTAGTGATTCATTCAGTATCTGCTTCCCACTAAAATGCTGAACTCTGAATTTTTAGAAAATAAAACCTGTGAGATTGTCTCATTATTGTTAGTTATGCTGAGGTTCACCAGAATAAATTGTTCAGGGGAATTATTTTGTATGATTATTTTTTAAATTAATTCCCTTAGAGTGCAATCCTAAACCTGTTTACTCCGAGGTAAGTCCCACTGAGCTCAGTGGGGCTTACTACCTGGTAAGCATGCTTAGGATTGCAGCCTTACTCTTTAGGTAATATGTAATATAATGTGGACTATTGTTCCCTAAATTTTCAATCCAAAATATTAAATGATTTCCATATTTTAACAAAGCAACAGATCTTTTTCTTCAAGACTGCAAGTTTAATTGCAGCTCAGCAAATGATGCTGGGCAACTAGCTAGTAAACATTATCTACTTGATGATGCTGATTATACACTTCTTTCAAGAGATTAAGCTTTTTTCCTTCACTTTATCATGCAACGAGAGTTTGCAAAGTAGAGCAGCACCACCTAGTTGTTCACAGAAAAAAAAACCCCACATTAAAAAAAAAAAAAGAATTTCACTTCTGGCGGTATTCTTGATTACATATGTCAACAAAAGGCTGTACAAATTGTCAAGGCACTGGGCAAAATGTGCAAAAGATCTCTAGACGGCAACTGATGAGTATAATAATGAGCAGGTTGTTTCTTTTATTGTAGATGACAACATTTAGGTCTGCAATGTGATGCCCACTGAGTTGGCAGTAAATCACCATTCACTTTATTTCTGAATCCAACTGAAATCCTCAGCACACTAGGGAGATGGGGGGACATGAGGAGCAGCCATTGACAATAGTGTCCTGTCACTTCCTAGAAAACTCAGAAGTGACATAATCACTGGAAACTCTATGGTTTTACCACAGAGAAGCATGACATCACTTCTGGGTTTCCAGAAATGGATTCACACTGTTGGCACAAAGCCTTTAAAAAAATACTTTTTATTCCATAGCCGCAAAAGGTAGTGGCAGTAAATGGGAGGTGGGGACAGACAAACAGAGGTGGTTTGCCATTGTCTGCCTCTGCATAGCAACCCCAGACTTCCTTGTGGTCTCCCCATTTAAGCATTAACCGTGGCCTACCCAGCTTAGCTTCTTAGATCTAATGAGATCAGGCTAACCTGGGCCATCCCAGTCAGGGTGGCAACAGACTAGTCTTCCTAATGGCACAAACTTCTAAACATCAACAATGAAACAAGCTACGGCTATTAAAACACAACACCAAATATGTATTGGACACCACAGGAGCCCTCCAATTAAAAGACTTCTCTCTGCATGTGTGTAAAGTGCTGTCAAGTTGCAGCCAACTTATGGTGACCCCATAGGGTTTTCAAGCAAATGATTAAGCAGCAGTTGTTTTATTTGCCATTGCCTTCCTCTGCAAAGTCTTCCTTGGTGGTCTCCTGTCCAAGTACTGATCCTGCTTGGCTTCTGAGATCTGACAAGAGCCAGCTTTACTATACCTTCCACATCCCCTTTTCTTAGGCCTGTCTAATTACCACTTCTTTAACTCATTGCAAGAAACTGGGAGAACCTAGCATGAAAAAGATCTATGAGAAAGGTTTCATGAGAAAGCATGAGAAAGGTTTCATGCTCCCCCTGCTTTCTGAATGAGAGTGTTTTGCAAGAAAGTCAGTGACTGATAAAATGCAGTTTTAAGACAGTGGCATGGATGCAGGGTCGTACACATGAACACATGAAGCTGCCTTTTACAGACTCAGACCCTTGGTCCATAAAAGACACTATTTTCTACTCAGACTGGCAGTGGCTCTCCAAGCTCTCAAGCAGAGGTCTTTCACATCCTCTCCTACATGATCATTCCAGCTGGAGATGCTGGGGATTTAACCTGGGACCTTCTGCATGCCAAACAGATGCTGGGCCATTGAGCCATGGCCTCTCGCTAGTATTTCCATGGGTGTAAGGATTTATGTCCATGAAGCATGATTTTCCAAAATGCACTCCAACATCCTGTCCCCTGAAGCTTTCTGGTCTGTCACAAGAGCCAGATATGTCCTCCAGTCCAGTTTTTGGGGTACATGGACTTCAAGGAACAGGATTTGGGAAAGCATTTGGGGTTGCCACAAGAGAGGGTTGGTGAAAAAATTGTGCTCTGTAGGCAGAAATTCTTGTGCTCATGTGAATTAAAGAACCATATTCCCCTAGCCACCAGTGAACAGAAACATGGGATATAAATACAGCAAGGACGATTCCCCACATTGCATGTAGCATTACATAGTATTGGCCAAACAACATTTTTGGGAGGGTCCCCCTCCTCTACTTTTGGCAAAATGACTTAGTACTTGGCTGCCATATAGCCAGCTGCTATTTCACCAGGAGTGTTGCAAAGCAAGTTTATAGTGGCCCAATTTCACTGGAGGCTTGAACACAGCTTTTCAAGAGCTGAATGGAAAGCAATTGGATAAATTTGCTCTCCAACTGCAAACAACTCTTATTCTTAGCCCGGAACTCATCCCTGCTGTCACTCATATTATGAGTTTCCTTTATGAAATATTTGCTTTGGGTCTTTCTCCCCCTCCTCACACTGTGCTGTTGTTTTCTGTCATTTTGAGTCTTAGTGGAATAAGGTGTATTTTTGCAGTGTGACCTGACAGCGGTGAGGCTATGTCACTATCCTATTATCAGCATTCCGGATACTCAGAAATAAACCTGCTGCTGAGTCAAATCCTGAAGGGGTGATTTATTAAATTATAGGACAGTGAGAAAGAATAAAATCGGAGATGCCAAATCAGTAGCAGTATAAATACTATGTTTTTCTGCAGGTATTGCCATAAAAAGGCCTCAAATAATAAGTTGCAATCCAGCTGCATTTTAAAAAGTGAACAATGCCCTACTTAACAGATTGCACAATGTTTTCAAGTCTATCATACTGAATCTAATGATACATTATGTGTAAAATTATATCAGAAAGTTCTGAAGACACATGGCACAGTTGTGCTGGAGTTAGGGGTGCCCTGTGACTGCCAGTAAACCACTCTGAACTCTTCTGTATCCAAAGAAGTATGCATGCACACAAAAGCTTGCATCTTGAATAAACCTTTGTTAGTCATAAAGGAGCCACTGGATTTAAACTTTGTTCTTCAGGGTGAGCTATGCCTATTACCCATAAATATGCAAATAATGAATTGTGCTGCCAGAAAACATTTGGTAACATTACAGCTACATAGGTTACCTTTCCCCTCCCCAATTTTACTAAACTGCTATAATCATGTTTTTAGTCCCTATTTTGTTTTATAGCCTATACTAAAAAAGGGAAGTGTCCGTCTTCCATTGCTTTTTGATACTTTTCTGCTTTTCTTAAAAAGGAACTCTTTTATTTGTACATAATGCTTCTAAGAAGAAATACAAGGCACAAAGCAGCATACTATGCCTCTGGCAGTCCCCATATGTACAGCCTTGTGTCAAAATGAGATGGATTAAATGCCTCCAGAAAGGATTCTAAATGTCTTTTATAGCACAAAGCAAAATGTTAGAGTGCCATCTGCTGTGGAAAGATTCAAAGGAACAGGAGATGACCCTTGCAACTTGAATTGCTCAGATTCTACAAATGTGCCAGCAGTATCTTTGCCATTTCTTTCTCCTTGTGTAAAGCCATTTTGGGGGTGGGGGGATATTAAAAGTTTAATTGCTCTCCCCCTTTTTCTACAGTTCAAAAGATTTATGTTAGGAAGCAAAAGAATCACAGCAGAGTTGGGAAAGCCCTAACAACTTGGAAAGCTCCTGGCAAGTCAGTTGTACAGTACAGCACAACATGGCCAAGTTTGACTCAGTCACTGAGGATCAGTGCGGCATAGTGGCTAGGGTTTCAGACTAGGATCTGGGAGACATGAGATTCAAACCCCCATTCTGTGTTAAATCCTCCGGCACAATCTTAGCCTGAGGTAGTCACAGGGTTGTGAGTAAAACTAGGGGAGACCCATATATCTACTCTCTATCCTTGAAGGAAGGATGGAATCATATTGTGATTCATAAATCAGTCTTATGGAATAAACTTTAATGGGTAATTTAAGATATAGTATCTTATTAAAATTCACACAAGCACATTCACGGGATTGTCGAAATCATGTTTATGTTTCTAGCAGGTCCTCACAGGAACACCCCCCCTGATTTGTATATTCTAGTTTTACGGTTTTATATGTCATTGTATTTGTGTGGCTTTTCAACCTGTAATGGCCTATGGCTATATACAATAAACTATTTCACTGACTGGCCTCGATCACTGAGCTGTAGGCATACCCCCCCGAATGAAAATAACCACCACCAGCAGCAACAAATGGACACAATGACAGTCTGTTAATCTTATTCAAGGAGTAATCAACCCTATCAGTGATCAAGACTACCCCGAGCTTTTCATTTTCACCGCTATGCGGTGCTTCTTTTACCTCTACCTACGTAATTTCAATCCTTGAGAGGCAGGTCCCAGCCTGCCTCGGGTTGGAGTTCATTTAGTACCAGGCAAATTTCCTCCAACCGCACAGCCGTCTCGCTTTCAGAGCCGCGACTCGTCTTCTTTTATCAGTCGGTCAACAGCCCTTCTCTATGGTTCTCCTTGGGAGAGAGCGGACAACGGAAGGGGCGGGCGTGAAGCAGAGGTCGCTCGCACGAGTTAGAAGGCTTGTGCATTCCTGTAACAGGAAGTCGTTTCAAACGGTGGCGGGTTTTGACTCGCGGTTAACGGTGTTCGGTTGCTATGGAGAACGGCGACGGGCAGCCTTTTGCCAAGCTCGCTCTAACAGGTACTGAACCCAGCTCAGGACCGGACTTTGCCAGAAACCGAAAGGGGTGGGGCGGAGGGAATTAGAGTGGTCCTGGCTTCCAAGTTCTGTTTGTGAGTATTTGAAAGTAAATCCTATTAAGGTCAACGGGACTCTGCGCATAGGGCTGCTTTAAGAGTGTTCATCAGGATTGGCAGCATGCCTACTCAAAACTAACAACTTACTCAGTTGAGTTTACTCACAAGTAAGTGCATAGGATTGCAGCTTGAATTTCTAACAATGCAGTTTTATGCATTTTTACTCAAAAGTAACTCCCACGTTATTTAGTGTGGTTTACTTCCAGGTAAGTGTATTTAGGATTACAGCCAAAGTCAGTTGGAGCTGGGGGAAGTATCGTATCAGGCCTGATTTACATATGCAAGAGAATGAGATGGGTAATCACGTGTTGTGACGCTTCTCACATTGCGGACGGGGGGGGCTTGCAGATAGAAAACTAGAAAATCAAGTGGTGATGGTGCAGAAAATCATGCTTTCAAAAAAGAAGCAGTAGCATGTGGCATGGGAAGGAGGTATTACAAAGCACTTGGTACAGTAGCTAAGGACCTTCACATATAATACTTTCCTACATTGAGAAGTTTTGCTCACTTATCCCAACATGATCATGGTTATGCTAGCAGTAACTTCATAACATAAATAAGTCCTATCCAGAGTTTGTAAGTGTAAGAACCAAATACAACCCTGGAATAGTTGGCTGACATGAAGTTAAGATATTAAAAATAATCTTATTTTTAAACGGGAAATAATAGATCTGTTTGACTTGTGACCCACCTTAGGTCTAACCACGTGCATTCTTCTGTAGTCTTGAGGGCTTCCACCTAAAAATGGCAATCTATGGGGAAATATGTCTCTGTTGCTTAGCTTTCCCCCTTTTCCTTCACTAGGTGTTGTAGCATATGTTGATGTATGGTCATCCAGTAGAACGGAAAACTACTCAGAAGCTTTTACCCAAAAACTTCTTGATATGGGAGCAAAAGTAAGTCTTTTTAAAGGAAGCAGAATTATTGTTTACATGAAACCGCAACTTGATTTGTAATAGGTTTGTTTTTTGTATTCAAGAGTTTTTCTAGGATCAGTATTGCAATGTAAGTATATATAACCTCTTAGATTTATTACTAATAGGCAAAAAAAGATATTGATTGTATATCATTCTGGCAAATAATGGTGTTCGTCCATTTCATTCCACTGCTGCTGTGTGGTCCAAAGATCTGTTCCATTTATGGAGCAACAGTCTATCACAAATGGCCTCTGGTGGCTGTATGTCAAGATGATCTGACATGTGCTTTGTATTGGGCCTAATGACCTTAGCAGCAAAAAATACAGTCCACGTATATAAAGACATAAGTGAGATGAAACGTGAAGCTGAAAAATTACAAACTTCTTTCTTATTTAGGAACGGTTTTCTCACTTTTCAATATAGTTAAATGGTTCCTAGTTAAGTTCTAAAATATATTTCTAATTTTAGGTGTCTAAGACTTTCAGCAAACAAGTGACTCATGTAATCTTTAAAGACGGACACTGGTCTACATGGAATAGAGCACAGAAGGCTGGAATTAAGCTAGTATCTGTACTTTGGGTAGAAAAGTAAGTACTGATATGTTCTAGAAGGTTGCCAAAAAGAGAACATATTGAAAGAAAAATGTCAAGTAATATCAAAATCCCAGCAGACCCCAGGGAGGCTGTGGAAATTGTGAATGTGTGCCTGGATGCAGTTTTGGGATGGATGAGGGCGAACAAACGGAAATGTAATCTTGAGAAGATGTAAGTGCTACTATAATGGGGGAAAGATTGACCCTGTTCTGAATGGTGTTTCTCTCCCCCTAAAGAATCATGTCCATTTTTCCTGTCCATATTCTGGAAGCTCTCCAAGGTTGGAAGGTAAACTACTAAAGCCATATGTGTACAGAAAATAAGCCAACAATCATTTAAGTCAATTGAAAATGAGAAATTGCATTCCCCCCCCCCTTTTGCTACAGTGAATAGATTTGCAGCTTGGGGGTGCTGTTGGACTCAGGCCTCCTTCTGCTGCTGAGCCCTCTTTGGCCTTTCCTGGGTGGGAAACATCTTGCCACTGTGGCGCATGCCCTGGTAACATCTAGATTAGGGTACTGCAATGTGCTGTACATGGGGCTGTCTGAAAGCTGCAGTGGGTACAGAATGTTGACTGGATTAGGTCATAGGCACTATATCACTCTAGTTTTGTCCCATCTATACTGTGTTGAATGTAGTGATGGTGGAAACTGCAATGGCAGCCGAGTCTTCAGCTTCTAGAGAGTTTTATAAAACAACTCTCCTTCGAAGCGGGCCAAGAGTTTTCCAATCTCTTGGACAGCTACCCCAGAAATGGTTTGAGCAAATAAAATTCTACACTCCCCAAAAGTAGTACTCATACACAAAATATCAATGACACACACTTATCCCACCTTCTTAACTTACACTATGAGAAAGGAAATGAGAAAGGAAAAACAAAGCGGGATTCCGAGTACCCAAACCCGTGCCTTGCTGCTGGAGACTGACTCCAGTGCAACAATGCAATGGGGCAGTGAGATATTGGCTCGTCTGCAAAACGTGGGGAAAAAGGTTTTCTCAAAGTGTTGTGCAGAGGACTTAAGGGCTTCTTAAAGCCTCTCCTTCCAGCTAGTGTTCAGGCCAGCTGAGGTCACCACTGGGAAACTACAGCACCCTTAGCCTCTTCCGAAAGCGTCTCACTAGGCTCCCTTTGGGAATTCTGTCTTCAGAAAAACAGGATAAAGAGGTTTATACTTAACCACTCTGACGGTAGCTGGGGCCACGGAAGGGTCCAAGGTTTCGGCACCAAATTTGTCATGGGAAAATGGTCCTACATGTGTATGTGCCTGTGTGTGACCGACCCACCCTCGGTTCATCCTGCCTAGGTGATGCCCCGTACCAAAGGCAGAATGGATGAGTAAAACCTTTTAGGGCTAGTTAAAGACCATTACAAGGTTGTTTGAAAGAAAAACTTCTATCATGTATCAGCGCTCTCCAGGCAAGACACCAGCTAGACGCTTCGCTGGAATTTTAAACAATACAGGTCTTATTTCCTAAAGAAATAATAAGCAAGCAAATAAACTGGCAAAGATTTCTCCTACAAAGCATGTGCACAGGAGCTCCTGGATTGACCAGTGGCCTTCAGGAGAGAAAAAAAGTCTCACTGAATCCCAAAAGTCAGTGCTGAACTGCCCAAGAGGACTCCAATTTATACAGAATCAATCAAAGATTATTTTTAATTGGGTTTTCAAGCATAATAAGACATACATATAAACACTGACACAAACAAGAACAGACATGACTTAAAGTTAAATTTAGCATCATAACACAGTCAAGCCAAGTAAGGGAAAAAAAGACAAACAGGTTCATAATACCTACTAACTCCTATACCGCAGTATTTAAAATATTTCACATTTGAGTACACACTTCTATTAATATTGCTTTTTTTTACAAGAATTAATCACAATTTTTTTTGACATTTTTACTCTCATAAGTTAATTTGTACATCAAAAGTCAAAGTTACATTCCACGATACCTACATAGCACAATTGAGAATAGAAGATAGAAAAGCTGTTTACTTTCCAGCTTTCAATAAATCAGCCCTTTCAAAATTGAGCATACTTTTTTGATATATATACTAGCATCACCCATTAAAATTTTAGGGATCCTGGTACTACTTCATTCTCCCAAGGCAAGTTCCTCTTAACTGCTTAGACCCTTACTTAGTTCTTAACCATTTAATATTTTCACTATTATTGTTTTTCTTCTAGTTATAAATTTCAACAACGAGATGTTCAAACAATAACCAATTAGCCTTAAGAATTTCCAACTTTTCTCTAACCTTCACTATGCCATTATAACAGGAAAATAAAGATAAATACTCTTCCACCCCTATTCTATTACCCCACCTTAAAATTTTAGCTTATCACCAACTATCTCTTTCTTAACATCTTTAACTTAACAATAACTTACCCTCTCTATCCCATTTTATCAAAGATTCTAGCATTTCTAGCTAGACAACTGACACCAAATGTAACTTATAATTAATATACTCTATTTACATACAGTTTCACACATACACCACCTTAAAAGTTTTGATTTATCACCAACTCTCACTACCTAAACCTTTTTAACATATCACTAACTTGCCCTAGATGGAGCTGCAGTGGCTCAAGTGGTTAAGATGCTGAACTGCAGGCTGTGGAAGGACAGTAGTTCAGCAGTTCAAGACCCGAGTTGCCGCATGACGGAGTTAGCTCCTGTCTCTAGTTCCAGCTCCTGCCAACCTAGCAGTTCGAAAGCAAGAAATTGCAAGTAGATAAATAGGTATCACTTCGGTGGGAAGGTAGCAGCGTTCCGTGCGCCTTGGTGTTTAGTCGTGCCGGCCACATGACCACAGAAACGTCTTCGGACAGCACTGGCTTTTCAGCTTTGAAACGGAGATGAGCACCACAACCCTAGAGTCGGACTTGACTGGCTTTCGAGCAAGGGAACCTTTACCTAACCTGCCCTAACAATCAAGCATTTATATCAACCAATACAAAACATAGCTTATCATTAACTTACTCTATTTGTTTAGTATTCCATAATCACAAGCAGTTAAAGATCCAATTTTTCCAGTTAGGCATATATCAGCAACAACAAACATTTCACATGGTTCATATATTTTAATCTTTCTCCTATGAATTTGTAATCTATCCTTTTGAAGTAACAAAAGGTCTCTTTTGTCTCTTTTCTTTGAGTGTGTGGAAATTTTTTCCTAGTCTCCTTCTAACTTTCAGCCATTCTAACTCCAAATTTTTGTTGTCTATTTTCAATTTCCCAAGATGACGTTTTTCTCTCTTTCCGGTTTTCTTTGTCCTGTAAAGAAAGATCCTTGGACATTCTTTTTTGGTGTCTCTGATTTTAAATAAAAGGGCTTTGTTGGTTTCTTTTCTTTTACTTTAATTGGTATAAAGTGAAATTCAGAGCACTCTTTTGTTTGGTAACATCCCATATCCTCCACGCCCCTCTGAGTATACTGTCCCAAGTTTTCCTCTTTCATTATTTGTAATTGAGGACTATTGTTTCCATTGACTTTAGACAAGCTTCTTTTTCATTTATCGTAAGTTGGAGCTCACTGCACTCTTTTATTTGATCTTCCTTTATTTCCAATTGAGGGTTATGTGTTTCTAGCAAATTTACACACGCTTTTTCAAAACCTTTTTGAATTTGCTCCCTTAAAATCCCCAGAAATTGTTCCACAGACAGATCTCCCACAAGCCTATTCTCATCCATTTCCTCCTCCTCTTGTATTACCGACACCATTTTAATTACACCGTTCAGTTCAATTCATTCAGTTTCTTATAGTCATTCAAGACACTTACATTTTTTTCCAGACCGTTTTCCATAATAAGTCCTTGCCAAGGGAGAAGAGGAACAAGAAGAAGTTCTCCAAGGTTGCATACACTCCGGAAAACGTTCAAAACACTCCCAAACCTCCTCTGGCCACTAAACCTCTCCTTTTTGAGCAAATAGATTTAAGGTGATATTGCTACCAATCTTCTTTATTTCAAAGTTTGAAGTATGTGTACTCACAAGTTTGTTCCTTGGCTTTCCCTTCTGTGTTACCATATATTCAATTCCAAACAAAAATTAAAAGGATGGATGGTCGTGACTAGGTGGAAACATGGCAGTTATGTTCCACACCTCTGATCGTTCCTGCTTTGGAGCAGTAACCGGACACACACACCCTGCATTGCCCAAGGGGGGAGGGACCGAGACAATCCCCCTGCCACTGGGTCCTCTCTCTGGGAGGTCCGGTGAGAGCCCCTCTGAACCGTGGGGCTCCCGAAGAAACAAAAGGGATTGGGCGGCTTCGGAGCATTCCGAAAATCCGCCTGTCGTCGCGCTGTACCCGCGCATGCGCCCCGATTCCAATCACCACCTCGGAGATTTCTTAAGCCTTGCTGCACGTGGGAGTTCTTTTATCCAGTTGTACTTGGAGATCATCTAAGACTAGTACTGCTGATTGGAGACCAGGCCCTATGAAGAAAGGTTGAGGGACTTGGGAATGTTTAGTCTGGAGAAGAGGAGGTTGAGTGGGAACATGATTGCGCTCTTGAAGTATTTGAAAGGCTATCATTTAGAGGAGGGAAGGGAGTTCCTGTTGGCAGCAGAGAATAGGACTCGCAATAATGGGTTTAAATTAAGGACGGAAAGGTACCGGCTGGATATTAGGAAACTTTTTTACAGGGAGGTGGTGAGCTCCCCCTCACTGGCAGTCTTTAAGCAGCGGCTGGACAAACAGTTGTCAGGGATGCTCTAGGCTTATCCTGCATTGAGCAGGGGGTTGGACAAGGTGGCCTGTATGGCCCCTTCCAACTCTGTGATTCTATGATTGGTCGTGAAGCCAGATGGAAAAATATTGAAGGGATTTGCTGGATCATGGCCCTATTTCAGTTTTCCGATTGGCTGTGGCATTAATAAAGAATTCCACAGAGAATCCCATTTAGTCATTAGTAGCTTATCGGATCCTTACATTTTAGCAAAAAGAAGATAAAAGATACCTGACTTGTAATATTAATTCAAAGTAG